GCCCGTCCCCGTCGCCGGGACGCCCACGGGTGTCCCTCTGCCCCCGCGCCCTCGATACGGGACCCCCCGCATTGCATCGCAAGGGAGCCGCTCCCCCCCAAACAGGGGGAAAGCGTGCGGGGGTCAGGGCAAACCCAGCCCAGCTCAGCAGGTGGCTGTTCTCAACCGCTCTCCAAGAGGGGTTTTCCCTCGGGTCTTTTCCAACACAAGGTTTCAGGCCTTTCAGAAAGCGGCTGGCACAAGCATCCCATTGGTAGAGATCAGTCACAAGGTATTTAGTCCCACCGGGGACAAAGTAAACATTAAAACGCAAGACACACGCATATAAAGCAAGGGTCCTAACAGCTAACGCCAGCCTCCCTCTGCCACGGGGGGTTGTTCTACAGAGCAACGTGGCGCTAAAAACACGTGCATCAACATACAGCTGCCTCACTTTCCCCAGGCATGCTGTACTTTGGAGCAGTAAACTCACAACCACAAACAACCACCTACGGCTGTTTTCACTGAATGGCTAAAAACCAAGAGTAGGCATTACATGGTTTCAAAATACGACTGAGGTGTATCTTTAGATAGCACACCTTTCAACCAGAAATTAAGGGACAGAAACAAAGCCACTTTCACTTCTATTGCCCAATACTACCAGTGTCTTTATTTCCAGTCATAAGAAAATAACTGGGAAATAGCTAATGTCGCTAATTAAATTCACTAGCACGTTTTCCACCAGTCTGTGGGCAAATCAGACTGCCGTTGTACAGAGAGCTCGATGGCTTGAGGAAAGCAGAGAAACCAAGCTATGCATTTTAAGAATCTATAAAGCTGTTTCCTGTGGTTTTGTGAAGGCAACGTTACCAACTTCTGCTTCTAAAACAGGATTCTTGCACTCTGCTCAATTATTGCTAGCTCAGCTAGATAAAATAAGCTGTTAATGGTCACAGCCCAAGATCAAACCAGACTTGCTTTATTGTATCAGAAAAGATTACTTCTGAAGGCAAAGAAGGGCACATTTTCTGGGTCAGACTTCTGCTTCCAAGAGGATGGTTTGAGAAGCCCTGAAGCTTGAAGGGCTGAATCTAAACATGAATTACTTTGCCCACTCACGGGCATGATGGTCTGTCCTGGGTTTTTCCCCAGTTCTCTTTGCACACAAAAGCAAAGGCTACAAGAAGCAGCGGGGACACGTTTTTGTCTTTTCAATCGGGAACATAAAACATCAGTACTTTGTTTCATGCCAGACCAAGTGGTGGCGTGGCACAAGCAAATCTACAGAATACCACTGACATAAGCAAAGCCCTGATTTTTACCCCCTATGGACAGATGCAGAAATAAGAACGAGAAACCCCATACAGGTTTACTCCAGAGACAACCCACCACCACACTCCCACCAGGCAACTCTGATGTGGAATGCTGTCTGATCGCTTGTTCGCAAGGGAAAACGGCAAACTCCCCCTCTAATTGCCCAAACATGAAGGTCAGAATCAACCCAAGCCCTCTTTGATCTCTAAAACAACCCTCTGCACACAAAGGTGCAAATAAACACCTCTTTTTCACAACCTTCCCTAACAAGCTGCCAGGGAAAGCAGAACTGCTGTCCTAGTAGACATTTGCCACAAGGCGCCCAGCTCATCAGAAATTCCTGGTCCCTTCTCACACCTCTGGACTTACCTGCTTCAATGTTTCTGGAGACAGGCGCAAATCTCTACCCAGCAAAGCGTAAGAACAATAGGAAAATAAATCCAACTCTAAGGAAGAGGACTCATGGGAATTGAGACCGATTAAGTTGAGGTCTTGTTCCATTAGAAATAAGGAGCACTGTGTGTGTTCGGGATTTGAATGACCTGCCTAATTAGATTTTAATTTGTTCCTTCTCCCTTAAACTGGAAGGATATTTGACACCCATAAACTTTAGGAAAATAAAGCAAAAGTATAAATGGCATTGCTCGTACTGTCAATAGCAGCCATTAGTAAGCTTGCTTTACCAATCTGGAAAGTCTGTTGCAAAACAGGAATTTTGGCTGATTTTATAAACTGATGTATTATTGAAAGCATCAGTGGATGTGGAAGCAGCTATCTGTTTTATCAAGACTGGTGTCATGTCTCTTTTCCAGACCTACATTAATGACTCCTTATTTTCCATGATGCTTCCCCTTTGACCAGGAGCATTTAAAAAACAATGGCAAGGTAAAAGCCTAACAGACTCGCTCTGAGCACATTTTGCAATAAGAATGGGAAAAAAAAGTGGAATTTTCCTTGAAAGAAAAAAGTCTTTCTATGGTCATTTTTTTTAAAAAAATAGCCTAAGAAAGGACGATCTTAAGAGGAAGGTACCTACTGATTCCCAGAAGAGACAGAGTTGAAGGGTGCCAACTGCACAGTATTGTACTCTGAGCAAGATCTGAAGGAGAAGCTATGAGCTAAAGAATTACAACTCAGCTAAGGGGACCAGAAGTCCTACCAGAACAGTGACACAAAGTTGGGGGAGAGCATCTTGATGGCCTAAGTAAGCTTAGGCATGGAATGGCATGTAACCATTTACTGTTTTTCTTACACAATGCAATGTAAACAGCAAGTCATTTCTAATAGAAAGGCAGACTTCACAGAAGACTACTTGTGCAACTGTCTAGGACATGCGATAATTAAGTACAAGGCAGAATGGCCACAAGATGGAGATCTGGGAAAGGGCATGCTGACCCTACCGAGAAGTTCTGCAGAGGGTGAAAGCTTAAGGTGTATCAGGTAAAGCAGATAGGTCACTCTTCAGAGGTGAGACCTCATAACACGAGATCTATGCCCAGGAAGCGTTGAAGAGGCCAGAGCCAGTGACTGAAAGTGACCTCTGCACAAACATGATTTGAAGCAAATGCAATTCCAATCCCCGGGATCCAAATCCTGCAAATTTGGGGTTATCTACCATCAGGTGGTGCAAAGCAGCCCTGCGAGAGCTGCATTCAGAGTTATACTTCTGACAACACCAGAAGGACTTTATTTCATAATTTAACAGTTGGATGCTATCTCCAGGTCTAGCAGATGTGCTCCAGACAACTAAATTATCCATAGGCTTTAAAATACTTAGCTATTTGCAGAGGAAACATTAAAGCCAGCTCCTTTTGGAACTGGTTCCAGAGTGAGATTTGTGTTTTTTTGTCACAAGCCTTACAAATTCTGACAGGATCCCTTTGACCACTGGAGCCCAGAAAACACCAGGCTTCACATACTCAGGGCATTGTATACCATGCCAGAGCCTCAGATGTATGATATCTCTTTCAAATGTGTGCTGTCCCTGCCATGGGGGGTTGGGGAGAAAGCAGTAAAACTGCTTGTATGCACCAAGGGCTTTCTTTTAGCAACAGGTCAGCGGACAGCTGTCATTGTAGCAGATCCAGCTACAATGGATCTGCTACAGGAGTCAGCAGATCCAGCTCTAGCAACATCAGCTTCTTTCACCTCCACAGTGCCCCTCTATAGCTTGATCTAGTTTGCCTAAGCAGTAAAGAATCAGAAAGCAGGCTGAGAGGTGATTCAAACTCATTCTAGCAGAGAATCAGAAGTCACTACTACATTGCAAAAGGAGGAGCTTAACCTAATGGAAATCCTGTTTCAAAAAGTAGCTCCAAACATACCACATTAAAAAGCCCTACATACACCTCATAGCAATGTTCCATTTCACAATTGACAACTCCAAGCTGAAATTCACATAACAGACTTCTATTTTTCAACATACTTCAGTGAGGATGCAAGGAAGCTAATAACAAGATTAGATGGAAAGCATATGGACAGTTCCCAAGCTACTCAGATGTACTAATCCTTAAGACCTGTGCTGGCTTAATTCATCTCATCTTGCATGCAGTCCACGCCTTCTACGTTCATATCTATCCTTTAGTTACTGCTCTGAAGTGAAAAATTGTTCTTAATGTGACACTCATTTCAGTGGCAAAGAGTAGAAACGCATGGGAAAAACTAATACTAAACAGCACAAAGCTTGTTGCCTCTGTTCCAGCCCCTTGGATAGGTTTGTATACCTGAATGCCCATACATTCACGCTCCAGCACCACAAACTAACCAAGTCAATTACCATTCCCGACAAACTTTGCCTAACAAAAGAAAACAAGGTTAGTTCCAGTTGCACATTTCAGTCAAAAAGATGACATAGTACTTTGTGGTTTTTGCAGCGCTACTGCTGGATTCAAGACAAGATGGTTATGAAGTTATGGTTAAATACTATTTGATATAAGGGATAAGAGATTCACAGGAAATATTAGTTTTGCCTTAAATGGCAGTTTCCTTTATTTTCAGCTTTTGCTTGACAAAAAGTGCTGCTAGTCCGCCCTAAAATTCATCTAACAAAAAACTTGTGTGGGTACTACATGAAAGTAGTGCAACAGCTTTAAGCCTTTGGGGACCATTGTAGTGCAGAGTTATATATGGATATTTCAGTGTCCAATTGCAACCGTGTTGAAATATTTAAACAATGAGAGCCATAAACAGGAAGGAATTAGTTTACAAAAACTGCATTACTTACAGTGATGTTCTGCAAAACTGTCGGTACATTTTTAGAAAGAAGATTAGCTTAAGTGTCCACAAATTGCAATATAAATCAAGCTAACTAGCAGAAGTTGCCAAAATACATTTCCATATCATACAGCCTGCCTTTGTTGCATTTATTCAAGGTCAGGGGAGTTGTAATGAGTTGGTTGGCAAAGGTTCAGCTAACTTACCTGAGAAGGTGACTTTTGGCTTCCTCCTTAAAAAGGAAAAAGCTTTCACTGAAAAAGCCTCTTGCGTTTTTGATCACAAATTAGCCATAGAAAATGTGAAGCAAATGCATGCCAATTTAGTGATATCTGCTTGAGTTGGTAGTGAAGAGAAGCATGCAACCTATCTTCAAAGGCAAAATGCTCCATCAACAGCAAAGTTGTAGATGGCAATATGAGAAGGAAAGGATGAGAAGTTTATCTGGGATCTAAAGCACAAGGAGCCAAAGGAGAACATCAGATTAGAATTCTGCGTCAGAAAGGAAAAGCTAACTTCTTAAGGAAAGTCTCTTCTCCTCCAAAGACACATCTGCTTACATTAGAAAAAGATTATTTTGTTACTTAACCACAGGTACCGGCTCTTAAAGCTTACCTTATCCAGCAACACATTCTGCCATAAGCGGAAGATACTGAGGTAGCTTCTGTCTCTTGCACTGAATGACGTGAAGAAAAACTGCAGGAAAAACAAGGTGCAAAAAGCTCACCTGTAAGTGTTTTCAAGAAAACCAGAATGCTTTCTTGTATCCTGAATATCCTAAGGTTTTCAGCAATGGCATGCTCCTCTCACACTCAATAAACCTGGGCTCATATTCCTTACTCCACACTTTTTATCACTTTTAATAAGCAAGAGTTAGTTCCCCAATATCCACACAGTATATAAAGACACTTGCTCTCCTGGGCATCCAATTGCAATCATTTGTACCTTTGGCATAAAGGAAGAGCTGCCCCTCAAGCAAATACACAATTATATCTTTCTCCCGCTTCCAAATAGGAGGTGGAACAAATCAGAGATGCATATGCCTATTTCTTACAGGCCACAGCCCTTTCCATCCTTCCACCACATACTCCTTTTACTAATCTTTTCACATGAGAAGATGTGAAATTAAAATAATTAAAATAGGAGATCAAATTAGATGCATCATTTGCGGTATTAAAATCTTCCCCATTTGAAAGTTTGTTTAGCAGAGAAAGAGCTTTATCTTTCTTGATGATGAAAGTTAGTATTTAGTAAATTGAGAGGTAACAGCCAAATATGAGGAATTCACAAAGAACAGCTCCAGATTGACCCTGGAATTCTTTTTATCCAGCCAAGAATTATTATTTTCAAGGCATTTACAGAAGAAGTGTCATGAAGTGCATTGTACATAAGAACATTCTGCATCATGCTTTTCAGTTTTTCCAAATACACACCCAAAAACTACATTTCCCAGCACATAAAATTGCACATTCTATGGGTAGTTTTCTTCATGACTCGAAACCCATGGTATCACAGTCCTTCTGCTTTCAGCTATTTTCTTCCAGGGCACTTTAAATCCAGTGAGATCGCAAAAACAAACTCATGGATGCACATTCTGAATTCATGCCCTGAGCTTTTAGTTTTCAAATGAATTTCCTTTGAGAATCAGTAGGACAAGCACTCTGTTACTTTCTGGTTACTGCATTAACACTAGTAGGGGATTCTGCAATCAAACTGCAGTTGAATTATCAAGCCAATATGCACAGGGACCAAACCACCAAGTCTGTCTTCTAATCCTAATCGCATTTAAAGATTTGACAGGGACACTACTTATGCAAATTTAAAACTACAACAAGTGCTCCACCCTGGACATTATAATTTAAAAAAAAAAACAAACCACCAAACATGTTTAAATACAGATTTTCACCTTCTCTCCTTTTGTTGCTATTTGTATGGCATTTGGAATGAGCCGAGCAGTCTTCTCCTTTGTCATGAAAGTGATATCCTTCAAGGCAATAGAAATCTAAGCAGAAACAGATTTAATAAGACATGAAAAATAACTGTTAAGACTAAAAATTTACAGTCACAGAACATGCAAGAGGAACTCAAACCCTGTGATGCAATTCAGTTGAGATCACAAAGGCAATTACTCTCTCCACTTGCTAACCTTAACAGCAAGCATTCCAAAGTAGAAGCAAGGTAAGATGACTTAAGGGTATTTCCTCTTCTTTCATACTAGGACTAGGGAAGCAAGTAGTTCTTTCATCTTTCCTTCCACTCCTCCAGCAACACTTGAGGATTAAGGGCACAATCCCAGCCACATACAAACCACAGACCTGAAAGCCAGTCAGTACGCTATACATAAGGCAGGACATACAGACAAGATAGTCTGTTATCTGATCTGTCGTCTCACAGAAGTTTGCAGTCTAGTCCATTTTCACAGAGGTTTATATGCAGTCCAGACACTGCAAGGAAATCTTCCTGCCTGGGTGTTTGCCTTGCGTATTAGTACTTGAAATGCTTCTGTTTAGAAGAGCATGGTCTGACTGGCTGCAACAAGCCATTTCCACTCAGCCTACCCCCTTCCCTTGAAGACAAGACTGTGCTGCTGTTCCGCTTAGAGAAAAGAAGAACATACAGTTGGATCTTGCTTTTTCCTGTGTGTGCAGAAGGTCCTCCACTTATCTCTCTGTCTGCATCAACGCAGCCTGCTAAGGAGATCCCAGAACTTGGCTCTACCATTGTAGATGATGAGCTCAGATTGCTTTAAGATATTGCTTAAGATATCACTCTGCTAGGCAAGCAAGAACAAGTTACCAGGATGTATGCTGTTTTGGCTGAAAATCAGTCTTTGAATAGTTTATATATTAAAGGGTGTCATTTCAAAGGGATTTTTTTTTTTTAATCTCAAGTCTACAATAAGAAACATTCAATCATCAAATCCATCTGATGAAATTAAGCTTGGTTTTCAGTTTAGCATTTCTACACTCCCTCTTTGTCTTAAGTACACAAGCTATTTGTTGTCTGTCCTGTGTACTTCAGAGCACACATAGTAGAATTTAAGATATTAAGATATGAGCAGTCTCACAGCTGCAGAACATTTTGACACATCTCCACCACCTATTAACTAGGTTACCTTCCCTTTCTCATTCACGGCCTCATGCTATTTCTACAGCAGATTTAACAACTGCTTGAACGAAAAATTTTAACTCGTTAACCTAATTTGACAGAAATAGAGGGCCAACATGTCACGAATATCTACTTTTGCTCATACTGTTCAAAAGCTACAGACCACAATATGAGAACTTGCAGAGGTCATTTACAGATTCTCTTCAGCTATTCTTAGATGCCGATATTTACATGTGAGACTAAACCAAGTTAAGGTTCAATGCGGGAGAGTTCTTGTACACGACACCATATACTGTATGATGCTCCTGGTCTTACAAGAGAACATTACGTGTTACATCCCTTTACAGAGCAACTCTCCTTGGTAAGGAGAGGCAAATCGTCATCCAGAAATGTAAAGGATCAACTTTAGCATAACTCCCGAACTCCTTACTATGCTGAATGACTGACTGAGCAGGCTTACTTCAGCATTCAGATGTCTCCAATGCTATTCTCATTTTATGGAGCAACAGATCTGCATTTCCACTCAGGCATGCAGGCTCTGTCTTTTCAGCACAAAGTTACTAGCATGAGATCGACAGGATAAGATTTGCTTGAGGGACTCTTATACCCTGATAGTACAGGACAAAGAAGAGGTGGGATTTAAGTGAGCTAAGAGATCTTACTGTGGTCTCCCATCGGAAAATGTTGCTGTGGAAACAGAGCCAGTTTTCAGAGAGATACAAGCGTCCTTGCAGCAGGATATCCTTCTGGAGTGCACAGGCGTAATCTATGTATAGAGAGCAAGAGCAAGTTTACTCACTTACTGCAGCTCAGTTGACCCAAACCTGTTAACTTAAAATAAGATAAGGGTATTGCAAGACAAACAGAAAGCTATTTATTTCACTCTTCAAAAGTCTGTGAAGGCAGACTTGTACTGGGTTGCATCCAGACCATTGTTCTGGCAACACCCCAATGCCAGAGTTGATGGAATAATCTGTGTGAGGACAGCACTCCATGTATCAACCCCCTGTGCATTATCCTATATTTTCAGAGAAGAGGTATCAGGCAAGATCAGGAGTACATGGGAGAAGTACTCATAAGTCAAACTTCAAAGCACCTAAACAACAGAATACACAAACATTTTACAGTATAACAGATTATACTGTCAACTCCTACATAACGGTACTTCATATGTTGTAGTGAGATAATAATTTTCCACTAAACAGATCCTATCACTAGCTAAAACTATCCGCAGAGTGAGACACAAAGGCAGCTTGAAGCTATCCAGTTCTTCAGGCAGGGGATATTTTCAGAAGCTGTCATTTTTATTATGATACTGCCTCTGGCTGAAACATTGCTATGAGAAACAGATTCCATCTAGAATGCCCGTCATCAGACACCTGCTAACTAAGAACAAGAGCAGAGGATATGGTTGCACTTTTTAAAAACCTCTTTGAGAGAACTTTCATAATTTCAGAGCCTGAAGATTCAAACAAAAGGAATTTTCAGGAGTACTACTGCTAGAAAGTTAAGACAGAACAACCCCTTTTGGAAGCTCCAACCTTATGTATAGAAAATACCCAGAATGCACCTATTCATGCAGGTTGTTAATGATTTTAACTTGAGGTATCAAAGACTTTTGTTATTTTGAAAAGCATTATATCTGGTATTGTCTGAGCCAGAATTTTGATTTTGTGTACAATGAGATGATGAATACAGTTCTTGTTCAAGTACCAAGAGGTTCAGGCGTCCCTCACCATCCTAACTTCAAGGTAAGTTTGCATCTACAGAAGCTTTTATTATGATTTAAAAAATTCTCTTGGGTTTTCCCCTCAAATAATCAAGTGGAAATAAAGTTTCTCGCAGCAAGCATGAGGCATGTATACAAGCCCTTGGATACATAACTGCAAACAGAATTACATAAAGTTAAAGAAATCCAAATAAGTGCATGTTTAAAGAGAAGTCAGATACCAAAATGCTGGGAGAGCAGGGAGAGGGAAGGCAGCAGGAGTTTGAGGTTAAGGACTTGAGGAAACCATTACCAAGAAGTTTGCATCCAACTGCTATGTTTAGGGGAGGGACAGGTATTCAGACCTATAAGTATTGGAGCACTGGGCAAGTGATGAGCAACACCATGACCTACCTACACAAAGGAGAATATCAAAACAAAAGAGCGAGATTATTCTCCTTCTAAGTTTTCAGATCCAGTAACTTAAGACACTGCTTGTAAACAACATTTTCAGACAAATTAAACTTAGTGGCACTCCTTAAACTCCCATTTCGAAAGTCTAAGTCACTTCTCTTTCATTATTATATTTCACATAATCTTTATACACAGTGCTCATTACAGTGGCGTAGTCACTTTTTTTTTTAACGGCTAAGTTAAGAACAGGAGCAGTTACAGTTCTTTTGAACAGCAGCAAATAATTGCTTCTTTGAGCACTGTAAAGCCTGTGATAAGTTTCTCTGCATCAAGCAAAGGAAGAACTCTCTGCTTGGAGGATGCAAAAAGTTCTTCCAAAGGAGCACTGCTTTTTATGGGGTAAAAAAAAGTATATAAAGTAATGACTTTGCTTCTGATGGAGCAGGTGCTACATTGTTGAGATTAACCCATTACTAAATCTTTCTTCAAGTCCTTGGCAGTCTGTTCATTGAACCTGTGCTTGAGAGTTTGCTCCATGACTTTCTACATCAATCCTATGCAAGGAGAAACATCAAAACAACGCTTTGAAGTAACATCCTTTTCTTCTGCTTTACTTCTGTACTGAACTCAAGTATTTTAAAAATGCAGAAGGCATTTCAGAGGATAACTGCCTCCTTCTGAGGCTGGAAAAGGACGCAGGGATTTAACTGTTTCTGTGCAAGTGAAAGCTCTAATTTCTCTTCCATTAACCTGGAAGGAACTCAGCATATTCTGATAGCCTCTCAATGTTCACTTCCTTAAAGGTTGCATAAGATGAGACATGAACTTTAAACAGTCACAATGCCACTTTTGTATAAAAACAACACCCAATTTTTGGATAGTGTATTTGTTACACAATGCTTGGGCAACACAGGCAGGCTTACCCGTAAGGCAAGTCATAAAAGAGGAAATAAGGTACACCACTGCATGCAAAGGAGGTAGGGTTACACACTTGCCTTCTTTGGATTTTGCAGTGGAGCAAAACAGGGAGTCAGAGCTCAAAAGAACTATTTCAGTGCCAAGAAGTTACGCACCATAGTTTGGTATTCTCTGCCACTTGCTTCCCTCCCCTCCCACCCCATGCACTTATCACCCCTGCTCTTCCAGCTGAGCTGTACTTCTTTCTATGCCTGCACCCATGTCATCAGCCTATGGATAAGCTAACCTGGTATACTGGGCTGTGAAAAGCCTCTGCTCAAGGCATGAGCCAACCCAGAACTAAGATCTGCACAGCACAGCACCACATAACGTACTTCATGCTCAGTACTAGCCTGGGCAGTACTACAACTGCACAGAACAGCCTGGGTCATAAAACGTTTTTATCTGCCCTCAGTATACCGTGTTGACAAATCCATCCAAGTGCACAGCATTATAGGTCAGGATAAAATGAAGACTGCTTTGTGTTTTCCAATGATCTCCTATGATGGCTGATGGGAATTACACACTTAAATACTGAATTTTATGTCCTTATACCACATAGCTGGCATTTGTCCCTGAAAAGAGTCTTTTAAATTACAAACACCCACTGTGTCACTCAATCCCAGAAGTCACATTAATCAAGGTGCCTAGGGCAAGGGTCTAGGCTTAGTTCCAGGGAGCAAGGGAAAAGCTTCTGCTAAGGATGATCCACCTACTTAACAGGGTCACTGAAGCAACATCCCTTACCTTTGTATCCAAGTACCAAACCATTACAACTATGGAATCATTCCCTCCTCCCCCAACATCTACAGCAACTGACTCGGCCATAACTAGTTGCCTCTTTAAAGTAAAAGACAGGACTCGGACACTCACAGGATAGAAAAGAAATGGTTATGACACTGCAAGAGATACCAAGTTGGTTGTCCATGGTGGAAAGAACATAGAACAATTTCAATGCTCTCAGGATTTAACTCTACCTCTTCTCGCACTTGCATCACACAAGCCCATCAATGCACACATGTTGGGTTTATGTGCTCAGTGCTCACCCTGACCCTGCATAGTGATCTTTCTTTCCACAGCTTGTCAGCTAACAGCTGTCACACAGGCACATCTCCACTGCTGTCAGGAAGGGTTTTGTCTAAAAACCGACTAAAAAGTAGCGGCAGGAAAAGACATTAAGAGGCTCCCATCCCGTATCTAGATGAACTGGAAGATTGTGTATCCTCTCCTTCACTTCTCAACCCCCAAAAGGAATCTGTCCTTTTTCACAAAGCAGGCAGTACAGGAGAGTAGTATGGACTTGACTTTCCCTGAAGGTATTTGATGCTAGCCCAGAGACAGAATAGGAATGTATCAGCTGTAGTTAGAATTTGCCATAAAAACACACCTTGGCACTGCTGCAATCTGGAGTTATTAGCCAGAAGACAAGCACTTTTGGTGTGATTACATCTTACCTACTATGAGTCTCTCCGAGTCTGGCAGATGAGAAAACTGTCTCTTGAATTCCTCGCTCCTATATTTGTAAGTGGAACTTGAGAGCTGCAACAAAGAACGGTAAAAGGTTAAGCAAACAGATTTATTTTCAGCCATCAACTGTCTTCATACTGGATGTGTAATTTTATCTTGAAGAACAAATGAACATCAAAAGAGCAATGAAGAAAGAATAGGTGGTATCTAAATGTGATCATCTCTGTAACTTTATACTTGCTTATGTAAGAGTGTGCTTCCAGTATTTGGGATAGGATGGGCCAGACTGTTCCCTGCATCAGGCCAGATGCCAATTACAAGGCATTACAGTTGTATGACAGCAGCCTGCTCCACTCATAAGGACACGAGAGTCCCTTCCAGGGCTAAGACTTCTAGCACAGACTAAATGAAGAGGCAGCAAGGCCACAACACAGGAGGTGACAGAGCAGATCAAGTCCTCATGCAGGCCACTAGCTGGACACAAAGACACAACCTAGAACACCAATTTCTAATTGGGGTACCATTTTGGGAATACTACAATGCAGTGGATTTTTTGCCAGTTGCTATAATTAGACCTGTAGTAATAAAGGCCAAAGTTTCCTCCAGTAAACACAAATAGCAGCATCACCTCTTGATTTCCTGACCTGTTCTACATTTCACCCCATATTTAAAAAGATCATTGTCTATGGTGCATTTAAGATTCAAATTGGGCTGTCAACTCACAGCAAGGAAGATTAATCTTGATGGACTTTAACTCCTTATTCTCATAAACGAATGCCCCCGCCCCCATTCAAATAAAGAGCTTCAGCATGTTCTCCAGAAATGACTCTGCTGTAAAAGCCCTGTTTTTCATTTCACGGTAATAACAAGGCCATATTTTTTTCTTAACAGATGTTGGCCACTTATTTTTAGGGGTTGTCCTAACCAAATGCTGTATAAGGCAATGACTCAGATGGACTATAGCTAAGACAGGAAGAAGTCACTTTCAAGTGTTACCAAAACCAGGTATAAATATACTATAAAGGCCTCTTTTACACCTTTTTTTTTTTTTAACCTTTCTAAAGATCTAAGTACATGGCTGCTATTCTCTCCTTGAGCTCCAAAACTTGACATTCACCATTAAACCCATCTCTACCACAAGATCAGTGGCTATTTACATTTAGGGTGGGGGAAGAAAGAAGAAAGGAGGCAAAGAACCACTTTTGACCGTATGACCTTGCAGCGTGTTTACTAAAAAAACACCTGGTTTTAGCACACTCCTGCAGTGTATATTAGTTGGTCACTACCCTTTCATTACATCTGCGCTTATCAAAACAATGCCAGAACAAAGACAGACTTATCTTCAGCTTGAGGGTCTTCTAATAAACTAGTGTAAATAGTGCCCCCACCTCATCAAGATTCTCACATTTTGCTATTTTCCACAGAAGAGATTCCTGCTTCTTGCAATTCAAAAGTTCTCTGAACACCACCCTACACACACACCCTATGATGGTCTGTCATCTACCTATACTTGAGAATCGAGCTCTTTGGCCACAAGAACATGTAAGTGCTACTTCAAGGTCAGGTGTTTAAGTGCATATAACACAGGAGAGGGCAAAGTCACCCTAACTCAGTTCAGCTTTAAAAAAACATGTTAATGTTACCTTCTGTTACCATCAATAAAAGAAAGTCTATGTTTGACCACTGGTGAGTACATATTTGCTGTCCACTAATATTCTGAGCATTGCAATGTAAAAAGGCAGTAAGGGAGGGAAACAGAAAATACATACATCCCTACCCTTCTGAGAAAAGTAAGCATGAAAGCTTTAGGTGCAACTAACAGGGCAACATGTTAGACATGTCCTCTAAGCTGTATGCTTCCAGTTATATTTCAGCTATTTCTCAGATTATGGAAGTAACATTCTTGGAGAGCATGTCATCTGCTAAAGTAGATATGCTATGGTTTCTTGGCCTTGCCACATCATGCCCTGAAACACACACTTTTAACTGATCATCTGAAACAGGCATCCAATGGCTGAACCACTTGCAAGAAATGGAGTTCTTCGCAATTACTCCGGAAAGAGACATGGAGAAGAATGAAAATCTAACTCGGCTCTGTAAAGTTGCCACTTGTAGTTCCAAAGACCCTACAGTTTACACAGTCATACCCCAACTGACTGAAGCCTGAGCTTGTGAGGACAGCACTAACATACAAGGGGAAAAAATAACTGGTCTGCCATGAGAGCAAAAGAAAGTCCACAATCGTCAAGCCTGATTTACAAAGCCATGATTTAAGAAGCCATGCTTTTAAGGAGGGGAAGTACTTTCTCAAACACACTGTATACAGATAAGAGAAGAGCTACACCTAATTTAAGCATTTTTGTGGTTATAAGACAAAAGGAATCAGGAAAGGGAGAATAGGAATATTACAGTATCACAGACACGTTTATTTTAGTGCCTGAATCAGCCAGTTCAACAGCTCCAAGAATCCAAACTCAAGATAACTTGAATTTTACCTAGAAATTGAATTTTTCTAGAGCATAAAACCTGCTCTAGCTTGTCTGAGAAACCCTTGTTGGCATTTAAAAGTGTTCTTTGTCACAAGTGACAAATAGGCTATAAAAAAATCCTTTTATTAATAGTAGATTTCTACTAAGTTCTTACAACATTTATGAAGAGCCAGCTCTGAATCTTTATCTAATCAGCAGAAAAAAAGTGAGCACACTGAAGCTTTTTAACCTTATCTTTTCCTTACTTTGTATAAAAACTAACTCACTTAGATCTCTAATTATTACACGCTCAGTATGTGGCTTAGTTATTAAGAGATCGCTCAATGGACTTGGAAAACAACAGGGACAATATTAACACTATTGGCACTATCAATTTCCTTAAGATGAAGAAAATAAGACACCTCCATTTCTATGAATACAGCACCTCTCAATCATCATTATAACGTCCAAGATGTGGCAGCATTTGAGGCAGGTTGCCACCTCCGGGTTACAAAACTTATCATCAAATATTAAAAGAAGAAAGGCATAAATTAGGCTGTAATATGACATTTAAGAAATGAAAACAGCAACACATTTTTAACACATGCACATTTCTAAGTTTAATTCTAAGTCACCAGGAAACACTTTGCCTGAGGATAATCTTAGGCATTTATGGGTATGCTATATTTAATCACTAAGAAAATTATTAAGTCCAGCCAACAACATATTAGCATTCTTTATCTGAAGCCAAGAAATAGACCAGAAACCTATAAAATAGCATAAGCAGAAAAATCTTTTCAGCCTCATCCAGAAAGTTTTACAGAGGATAGTTATGCAAGAATCAGATACTACTTGAAGACACACACCCAAGTGATACTCATACCTTGTTTCAAAATGGACCAGAGTCCAACTATATAAAGTCATGTTCCAGAAAAAAGTGTTAACTTAAATAGGACTAAGCTGAGTTAGTTATATGATAGAAGCCTGTTAAAAAACAGCTTCCCTTCACGTCTACATCTTCAAAGTGTGGACATTGCAAATAATTTGAGCCATTTAGCAAACTGTGGAGGAAAATTAAGCTACACCTTCTCCCAAGAGTACAGCAAAAATGCTAATTGGTAGGAAATTATTTGATTGCATATATAACTAAGCATGCAAATAGTCAACCAACCTCAGCAGAAAGGTGTGCATTTTTTTTAACATTTGCTAATGACAGTAATAATTTTGCATTTGCTTTGTTAGTGTTTTCCTCTTGTTTTGAGACACCACAAAAACCACATTACCTGACAATTTGCATTCTGTAATTTTGACATGCAGCTATGAATACAAACAGCTGAGAAGACAGGTGAGTTGACCTCATCACTAGAGTAATACAACTCTGATGTCACCTCATTTTAAGAGATGCACACGTACCTCCCACTGAGCTTCAGTCTTGGTATCAGTTACTGCCAAGTGCTTGGGGTCCCAGAATCAAACAAGCCTATAAGCAAGCTGCCTGACCTACTCCCCTTTTATGCTCAGAAGCCTCACTTAACCAACAAAATATGGCCAATGAGACTTATGGCTTTGCTCCTCTGTCTACAAGCAAGCAAATCCATGCCACTATCTCTACATCCCACTTAAAGACCACCTGATGTACTATTCCCCAAAGACAGAAGAGGTTGACCTGTACTTTCCTATGAAGTTTCTAGACATGGTCAAAAACAAATCTGGAGATATTAGTAAGGTTAGGATGAAAGCGCTTTTTAATTCTACACTACCACATTAAAACAAACATTAAATATCCTGGCAAAAATTGTTGCATTTCTACCGAAGAATGCATTGTTTTCCCCCCCTCTTCAAATTCATCTAACATCCTGCTTAGCATCAAGAGGAAAAAAGAAAACAGCCTCCAGAAGAATACCACACAGTCAGAGAGGAGTTTGATTTTATACAAAAAGATTACTTTAGACTACAAATATTCTTGAAACTTACCTGGTAAGAAGAAAAAAAAAAAACCAACAAACCAACACCCCACTTTCAGTCAGTATAAAGCCTCACTAGGCTAGGAGAGAGCTAAGTTAACAGCCCTGAACAAAAGCCTCATTTAGCAGTATAAGGCAGGCAAACTTAAGACTTCACATACACCAAAACAGATTCAGGCAGACTTATCTATAAACACAAGAATAACTCCCATGGCACACTGAGATGACGGTCTCTCTGCTGAGGCTACCTGTAAAACGTGCCAAGTCTGACAAGCCTTTCCATCAGAGCAATGTTGATCCCACTGCAGCCATTTCTTCAGTCCGGAAAAGTTCATTATGACCATCCAATCTAATCTATAATGCACAAGCCACAGCTATCCCAGAATTTAGCTCCTGCTTTAAAACCAGAGCTGCAATGACCAAACTTCCCTTTGGGAAAGAAAAAAAAAAAAATTTACCTTCTTAAATTAAAAGTCAACCCTGATGGAAAAATCCATCCTAGCTATGGATAGTTCTTCTAGTGGTCTGTTGGTTAATCTTATCTTCACTTTGTGAATTATTTTCAGATTGTGAGCATACCCCATACTGCATACCCCCTATCTTCTTTTGGGGTAGGGATTAAGCTTCTCAAGTCTACTAG